AATTGCTGCTTTGAACGATTACGTAATTGTGGCATCCATAATTGTATTATTAGATTAATACCAAAAATGAATCGATTAGAAATTGTCAATATAAACAATTAATCGATTAGCAATTCGATTAATTGTGCAGCCCTAAGTTCAAGTGATCTCTAGTCCATTAAGCAACAATTGGGTATTTGAAATCAGAGTTTGTGAATTTGTTTAATTTCATGATTTCTCCACTCACACATTTCAGGAAAGATAATAACATGTGTAAATTGTGTGAATTTGTATGGATGACACTCATAATGGAATATTTCTGGATTGACTATATTTTCATAATCACGATTTCTGTCTTGTGTACCAATACAATAATAATAATTTGTGTAAAATAAGAATAAATTATTAAGATTCAAGAAGTATATGTATATCTTTAATAAATTAATTTTATTCCATTAGCAAAATGTTTAAGCATAAACCTCACTAAAATTTATTTTATTAGTTACATCCTAAAAGTCTTATGTCATTTTACTTCTCAGGTAAATTTATCCGCTTTTAAGAATGTTTAGATATTTTACAGGAAAAAGACAAAATACTGCTAAAGAAAATGATTTTCATGTTGTCATGGAGATTTTGGTTGTCATGGAGAAGACAAAGGCTTTCGCTTCTCATCTCTGGCAAGTTTAATATCAAACCAGCCTTCAAAATAAAAATATCTTCACGGGACTTCAAGGACAGAACTCTGTCATGTCATTTAACTGAGACTCCAAAGAGCCCTTTATGAGCTCCATGGGGAGATATCAGATCAATATTATGATTTCACCCCAACATTTGCATATTGAACTCTTTATGAGATCCTCCACAGTAGCAGACGTCAATGCATTAGAGAGAGCCATGGATGTATCATGAGATAACACCCACACACATACACACCCACACACAATCAAATGAGCATTTGTATGATTAAGCGGGCTCTTCCTGAGCCTCCGGATGCAGCTCAAGACAAGCTGTTTCCTCTGCATCATTATTCACACAGACGAGCATCATTGGCTTTGATCATTAGATGTTATCTTTGATGAAACTACATAACACAAACGGGTAAACTGTCGGCTGAGTGTGAGACGTAATGAATGGGAAGCGCTGTGTTGATTTCCCAGCTGAACTGAATTTATGGAGGTTTTCTGTCCTGTACCCTCTCTATAGATCCCATAGGCAATCCAGAGTTATTATACAGAGAACACTTCTTCTTAAAGTGATGCATACATGGATTAAATCCTTAATCTCTAAGTTGAACGACTATCACTGTGTACTGGATCATTTCAGGGCTGAACCACAAGCAACTCAACAACATCCTCATCCATGTTCCTTTAAAGCGATAGTTCACCCAGAAAACTTGTATGAATTTCTTTCAGCTGCTAAATACAAAAGAATGTATTTTGAAGAATGATGGTAACCAAACAGTTGACACTGACTTCCACAGTATGGAAAAAAAATACTGGTGTGAGTGATGACAGATTTTTCATTTTTCAGTAAAATATGCTTTTAAGGCATATGGAACAAAACAATACCAACAAAACTATAATATATTCCATGTTGATATTAAAATACTTTTTATTAACACAAATTTATTTTATAAAGAAACAGCAAGCAACACAGAATAAAATGTGATTTTTTTTTAAAGAAGAAATACTGAAATAGTATTTTCTTGTAAAACATACTCCAAAAATATTGTTTTATTTACAACTTTGAAATTTATTTTTACAGTATACAATACTACAGTTACAATAATATAATAATGTAGCTGATGTTCAACTACTATTATTAATGATCACTTTTTCAGATCATTAATTAATAAAACAGCACCACAAATATTAATGGTGGCAGGTGCGGATGTGTACTTCACATAATTTATTCACTGAGAAAAGTCTCAATCACAAATAATTTCATGTGTCAAGATATTTCAAGATCATTTCAATTTGGACATCACTAAAATAATAAAATGAAATGAAATAAAAAATAAAATAAAATAAAAAATATAATTGCTTTATTTAATAATAATTATAAACTTAAAACATTCAAACTTTAAATAAAATAAAATAAAATTACATTACATTACTGCCCTGCAAGTAATTGTTTGCAGTTTTCCATGTGCTTTTTAGTAATTAAATATAGTTTGACCTGGTGTGAAAAAATGTGTTTGAACTTTACTTTGTTGCCATCAAGAGATTATAGTCTTTTCATGCATAATAATAAAGTACTACTTATGTAACTTTGCATACAGATCACACTTATGCAGTCCAGCGCCGCAGGCACAAACAAACAATTTACTATTGAGGAATCAATTAGCATACAGTACAGTATACAGTGAAATACACTCACATGCATAAACAACCTCTCATAATGTCCTTGACCGAAAAGCACTTTAAACTTCTTTCAGTATCTCAGTACTTTAATGCTAAACCACCAAAACATACATCTTCACCAGCAGCAGATCTTCTTGAGTTGAACTTTCAACCTCCTGCCTCACTAATACAGGAGAATTACTGTCTTGACAGGCCGCATATAGAGCTTAGCCTAATTCAATTGTCTGCTATTCTCAGTCCTCATACTAGAGGCTCTTCTTACACCCAGCTCCTTGTGTGTAAGCACCTGTGATTGATGGAGATAATGAATGAGTCTACATCTATTACCGTGATGCGGGCTGCTGTGTGAAGTAATATCAAAGCAGGGACGTGGTGGGAACGCTGAGCGCTGGAGTGGCCAGGAGCCCGAGCAGCCAGTCTCACTGATATATGGCACTGCCTCAGGCTACCTGGCAACTGACTAACCCATGCTAATGCAATATGTTCACTTTTAGAGCAGCTCAGATTGCTGTTCTTCACACAGCAGTCAAACTAATTTAGAAATTCAGAGGGGGAATTGTGAATATAGCTACTGTTGTTTTAAAACCTGCTCTGATCGAAGCTGGAAGCATTAAAGGGATAGTTTACCCAAAAATGAAAATTCTGTCATCATTTACTCACACTCGTGTCATTCGAAACCTGTATAATTTTCTTTCTCCCGAGGAACACAAGAGAAGACTTTTTGAGAAATGTTGGTAACTAAACTGCCCTGGTTTCAACTGACTTCCATTGTATCTTTTGTGTTCCGCAGAATAAAGTCAATGGGCCTCATTCATGAAACATTCGTAAATATAGGAGTAAATTCTGAGTAATTTGCGCGTAAAATGGACCTTCCCGAAAACTCTCCTCCGAATTCACAAACACTTTGTACACATCAGATCTGATAGTTAAACATGCGTATGTTAATGAATTCCAATCATTCGTAAATAGGGCGCTCATGCACGCTCATTCACAATTAGCATAATCCCTGCCTATGAATTACAGCTACGTAAATTGCGTGTCCAGGAACGCAGTGGAATATTCTGGTCTACTTTCTCAGGTTTGGCTCCAGTATATTGCATAAATGCTAAAAACACTAATAGGCCATATGCCTAACAATAAATATTCAATAACGTGTGTCCACAAAAGCGTTTTTAGCCAGCTGAAAAACTGTCAGGCACTCTTCTTAAAACGGCCAGCTGGTGGTGCTGGAGAATGCTTTGGTGGCACAGCGTTTTTCTAGCTGAGCCTGAGAGACACTTTGGTTGCTATGATTTGAAATATCCACGGCAGTAACATATTACTAGTATCTCATTTTAAGAATATTACTGAATATAAAAATTCAGTAACCAGCAATATGAACTTCTCT